TATATATATGTTTGCAATTTCCTATGTTTGACATTGCATATATTATTTTATTGCAGTCCCTTCCTGAAGAATACCAAGTTCTATTGGCTCAGCATAATTCTTTGGTGGAGAAAGATTTTGATGAGCTTGCGCAGGCAATGAAAGAGCAAGGAAAGGTGATCATGGCAAAGCATGGTGCTGAGTTGGCTTCTAAGTTGATCCATCTAAACAAACGTCTGAATGATGTTGCTGATTTGGCAAGTAAGATGAGCCAGCTGAATAAACCTTCCAATGACAATGCCAACGTGCATCCTCCACCAGATCCACAGCTTCACCTGCTGAGTCACCCAAAAAAACATCCAGCCCACTAGAGAGTACAGGACATGCAAGTACTTCTAGTGCACCAATCCCACCAAAGGATAGAACAGATGAACCAATTCCTTCCCCTCCACTAATCCGACCAGAGGAGAGTACAAAAGGTTCAATTCCTTCCCCTCCACCAATCTCACTAGAGGAGAGTACAAAAGGTCCAGTTCCTTCTCCTGCACCAATCACACTAGAGGTGAGTACAAAAGGTCCAATTGCTTCCCCTCCGCCAATCCCACCAGAGGAGAGTAAAAGAGGTCCAGTTCCTTGCAAGCCATCAGTCCCTTCATATGTACATGATATCCCTTCATGTGACCTATTCAAACCTGATGAACCAGAGTTTAAAGATATATGTGGAGAAAGATCCAGAAGCCCTATGCCTACTGGTAAACACTCTGATTTTTTCATCCATCTCATTTTATGTGTTCAAATGTGGCTTTTTTGTTTGACACATCCTTTTTTCTCTTTTTGTCTTATATTCTTTTGTAGCCCCATTGCAATAACTTTGTTAATCTGTTTCATTGACACCACCTCATGTGTTGCAGTAGCTATCTATATATGTTTCAGTACATATGTTTTCATATACTTCAGCCCTGATTTTCTACTGTTTCAATGGTACTACCTTATGTGTTGCAGTAGCTATCCATATATGTTTCAGTACATATGTTTCCATATACTTCAGCCCTAATTTTCTACTGTTTCATTGGTACTACCTCATGTGTTGCAGTAGCTATCTATATATGTTTCAGTACATATGTTTTCATATACTTCAGCCCTAATTTTTTGTCCAGGGGACACCACCATTGAGGCTTCCAAGGATAGACAAAAGGCTCAAGCACAATAGATAAAAGGAATAGAAAGAAGAGGAAAAGAATTTATGTTGGCCTTGGGCTGAAGCAAAAAAGATCCAAGGGTGATGATGATGGTATCAAAGAAATTTGGAACAGTTTTTGGCTAAAAGAGCTTTTGATCAGGGATTCAAGATAGAGGGTGAAAACCAACCATAAGTTTACCCACTCCCAACTCCCTCTACATTTTTTCAGTTTGACTTGTCCTACACTTATGCCCTGTTTAATGTGCTGTCAATATCTGTTGCATTAGGCTTGCTTAGTTGTTGTGAATGCATTATTCATGTGTTGAAACTAGCTCTTTTTTTGTTTCCATACTTCATTCATACCTATTGCATTAAGTGATCAGATAGCTTTTGCTTGTTTGTCACCTCTGTAGTCTTCATTTTTTAAACAAAAAATAAAAACTGGCTCTATTTCATTAATATGTGTTCAATTAGCGGTAGCCATAGCTTTATTTAATTGTTGCAAGTGTATTTTTCAACTGTTGAAACAAGCTTTTATTGGTTTAGCACTTTGCTCATCTTTCTTCTAGTAGGTTTTGATTATACATCGGTTATGGTAATTATATCACCTTTTCTTCTCTACAAGGCCACCTTTCATTGAGATCGATGGCTTCCACGTTACGTACGATGAGTTTTATGACTCCTTCAAGCCAAGGGGATTGGTTGGTAACAATGTAATGGCCTTGTGGAGTTATCGGTTCAATCTTGACCACCTTCAATTGTATGAAGAGAAAAAAACAAGTAAATAAAAACTTAGTATTAGTATAAGTTCATAGAAGTCAGTGTTTCGTTTTTAATGGTTAAACCTACCACATTAATCCTATACTACGAGACTGTAATAGACTAGCGATCTAAGGCTATCAAACGATAAATGAAAAATAAATAAAGAGCCCATCACATATAGAACAAATATAAAAAATATGGGCATCTATATATGTATATTGTAAAAAAATTCATAAGAAAATCTGTCTTGTAGTGCATATGTACTTTTCGTATGAATTTTTCCGGATGGAGTTTGAATCAATTTTGTGATATCTATAGATGTAGGGTGTGTTTCATAGAGCTTCTACCACATCTTCACAAAACTATTTTTAGCTTCTCCAACCAAGCGGGTCTGGATAAAACAACTTGTCGGTGTTTTATAAACCAGACTAGTGAATTTATACGATTGCTGCGCTGCTATAGGAAGACAATGGTAGAATCCAACAAACACGAGGATTTATACTGGTTTAGGCCGGAGCCCTACATCCAGCCTCAGAGATGATCGAGTGCATGTTCCTCGCTTGAATGTTCTGAAGTTCTTACAATGAAGGGGTGCAAGAATGGTGGAAAAGGTAGGAGAGTTAGAGCTAAAAGATGGATTGCTCGAATAAGAGCTTTGAGAGTCCAGCATGGTGAAGAAGATGATGAGAGCTTTGGAAGGGTGCCCTGGCTGTCCTTATATAGAGTCCAGGGCCAGGTCACGTACAAAGAAGGAGGTTCTCCCACCGAGGGGACGTGAGCCTGAGGGAGGGAACCTAGCTAATTTGGCTTGCAAGCTACACCGTCTTTTGGTGCACGTCTGGACGTGGTTGTCATCATGGTCTTGTGCCCACATCGCGGCATGGCGTGACGGTGCTACAGTGCCGTTCGTGGCGGCACCGTGGGCATGTTGTGTTTTGCCAGCCATCCTGCACGACGTGGTCTTCGTCGTGGCCTTTGTCATCGCTTTCTGACCTCCCGGGGGTGTCGTACAGGAGTTGGTAGCCGCCCTCAGGTCGTTGGTCGTCTTGTTAGCTTGTGGAGTTGGTGGCCACGACCCCGAGCTCCGGGGTTGTGGCCCCTGTTGGCTTGGATGACCTCTAAGTCAAGGCCACCGTCGTGGATCCCATCCCATAGTGGACGAAGTCGTACATGTGTCTCATCGGGCCGTATTTGGATGGTGGGTCACTGTACTGGTCATTACCGCTTGGCGGTGTTGTCTTGTCTCTGCTGCATGATGCAGAGATGGCGTCTGACCGGATCGAGGTGACCGCTGTCCCCTCGGTCCTCGCGGGGTTAGTGCGGCGTGCCTGCTTCTGTCAGTGCAGGAACACTTGGCTAGACTCGATATCACCCCGTTCTTCCCAAGGGCCGGGACAGTGGAGTGGTCGTGAGTCCTCGTGCGGCGTGCGGCTGAGGCAGATGGAGGGGTCGTGGCGACCCTGGCCTTAGCGTTTGGCCTAGTCCACTTAGCTTAGCCGGGCTTTGATCGTTTGGGCTTATACTTGCTAGCGTACTGTGGGCCGCCTGAGTGGCTATCTAATCTGTGCCTTGAGATACCCAGGGTATCGTAACCCCAACACAACTTCTCACTAAAAGCTGTTTTTCAGCACCTCTCACATGTATGTATCTCTAGGTGAAGCTGGATGAAGCTAAAAATACTATCCTATCCCATCTTTCTCTCAGCTATCTATCCTGATAAGCTATTTTACTAAATGTTTATGAAAACAACTTTAATTTCACTTGTGAAGCTGCTTTATGAAACAACTTTAACTTCACTTGTGAAGCTGCTTTATGAAACTGAAGCTAGTTGAGCTGTACCAAACATACCATATGGATGTGCATCATTTCAATTTTTTAAACTTCTAGATATGTTTTTCTAGTGGGGGTTTACATGATTCCATCGAAGTGGTGACTTGCATCACCAATAATTTCCAGAGCATTACAAGATTGAACTCCTGTGTCGTGTGTCTATCTGACTGGCTAGCTATGACAGGGCAACTCCAACCAGCCCCCTATCTCAACTCCTATCTTATTTTTGAGGGTTCAAACACAAAATTTCGTCTCCAACCAATTCCTCATCCAAGATGAGGGTCTCATATTTCTCTCTCCTTATCTCCTAGATATGGGGGACTATCAACCGATCCCTCATCCGCCTGGGAGACCAACGGCCCGGTTCCCGCGTCGCCGCTGAGTTTTTCGTTTAGGTACGCGCGGCCGCTTCCTTCTTCTACCTGTGGCCTTCATCCCTGCCCGCGTTCGCTCAAGGGCAACAGGTGACCTGTATTCATTGAGAGAGTGAGGGAGAATAACCTGTGTGTTGTGGATCTGGTCACGCCGGCCACGCTCCGATCTCCTGCACGCACACTCGTTCCGCGGAGGCCAGCTCGTCGGCGTGCCCAAGTGCAGCCCCATCTTGCCGCTGCCGCACCTGTACGTGCGGCCGCCACTACTCCAAACTAGCCCTGCAAGCTTTGGCATTATTTAATCAAGCTTTGCCGCTGCTCCCAACCAGCCCATGTTGCCCCACCCGTAGTAGCGTGGAGTGTTGTGAGGGAGCTGTGAGAGTGGCGTGAGGAGAGAAAATAATAGTTGCCAATTATTTGAAAAAAATAATTCCTCCAATATTTAGCCTAAAAAATGTTGTTAACAAGTATCCATTCCAATAATACTAACACGATTTAGATATAAAATAATGGATTTGGCAGTTAGAAGTTATGTATAAAATATAGGTGAGAAAAATTAGAGAGGCTGAAATGAGAGTTCGGTCGGAGTGCAGAGAAAAATAAGGGCTGAAATCTAGACGAGGGATCCTCGTTTGTGAGAGTAGGGGGTTAAATTTTGAGAGATCGGTTGGAGCCCTCGTCACAAAGGCCGAGGTGAAGCCGTGAAGGCGTGAAGCCAAGACTTTGACTTGTCCGTCCCCTCTCCAATCACAGTTGTGTACGTATATATCCACCTCAGCACCACTCGTTTATATATGCACCTCCATCAATCATTTGTCTCATCCTGTTACCATTAGCGTAGACCACCGGGCTAGGCCAACCTGTCCCGATCACCCATGGCGTCCTCCTCCAAGCGGTCGCTGCCATGCGTGGTCCTCCTCCTCCTCATCACTGTCTTCCACCACGGCTGCTCGTCGGCGACGGCCCACAGACCGTACACTGGCGACATGGGGAGCAGCACCGACGACAGCCCGATGATCGAGCGGTTCCAGCGCTGGAAGGCGGCGTACAACAAGTCCTACGCCACGGTCGCCGAGGAGCGGCGGCGGTTCCGGGTGTACGCGCGCAACATGGCGTACATCGAGGCCACCAACGCGGAGGCCGAGGCGGCGGGGCTCACGTACGAGCTCGGCGAGACTGCCTACACCGACCTCACCAACCAGGAGTTCATGGCCATGTACACGGCGCCCGCGCCGGCGCAGCTGCCTGTAGACGAGGACGAGGACGACCAGGCGGTGATCACCACGCGCGCGGGGCCGGTTGACGCCGTCGGGGGCGCGCCGGGCCAGCTGCCGGTGTACGTGAACCTGTCCACCGGCGCGCCGGCGAGCGTCGACTGGCGTGCCAGCGGCGCCGTGACGCCTGTGAAGAACCAAGGCCGATGTGGTATGTACAGCACAATCCGTAAAGAGCATCATCATGTCATTCCGTCCTGGAACCTGTCATTTGCCACCAATTATTGCTCTCACATGTCCCTAACCACATGCATGCATGCTTGTCACTGCGCAAAACACATGCTTTTGCCTGCATGTGCTCCCCATCGTCAATCGTGCAGGGTCGTGCTGGGCGTTCTCGACGGTGGCGGTGGTTGAAGGGATCTACCAGATCCGGACGGGGAAGCTGGTGTCGCTGTCGGAGCAGGAGCTGGTGGACTGCGACACGCTGGACGCCGGCTGCGACGGCGGCATCAGCTACCGCGCGCTGGAGTGGATCACCTCCAACGGCGGGCTCACCACGGAGGAGGACTACCAGTACACGGGCACCACGGACACCTGCAACAGGGCCAAGCTCTCCCACAACGCGGTCAGCATCGCGGGGCTCCGGCGCGTGGCCACCCGGAGCGAGGCGTCGCTGGCCAACGCCGTGGCGGGGCAGCCCGTGGCCGTGTCCATCGAGGCCGGCGGGGACAACTTCCAGCACTACAAGAAGGGCGTCTACAACGGGCCCTGCGGGACCAACCTGAACCACGGCGTCACCGTCGTAGGCTACGGCCAGGAGCAGGAGGCGGCCGGCGGGGACAAGTACTGGATCATCAAGAACTCGTGGGGGGAGAGCTGGGGCGACGGCGGATACATCAAGATGAGGAAGGACGTCGCCGGCAAGCCGGAGGGGCTCTGCGGCATCGCCATCCGCCCATCCTTCCCACTAATGTGACGACATGATGATGTACAGTACATCTTTTTTCCTCTTTTTTTTCATTTTAATAAAATAGTCAGCATATGATCGAGTCAAACTTTTTTTTATTCCTGCTATTACGTGTACCAGTACACTTGTTGTAAATAATAATCCACGGCACCTCGCGTGTAAACCGCTTATTCTTGTGCGAAAACGACTTCTGCAAATGAATTAGGTATGTACAATGTGTCACTATCAATCGTCATTTACTAGCTTCAATAGACAACATCAAGCACTCAACCCAACTAAGAATGGATAAGTATTAAACACCAAACTGAGCCACTTCTTTTATAATCCATCATGGTTTGTTTCAGGAATGAGAAGTACTCACAATCCCTTTTCGAACATAGCTAACCTTTGAATTTGTACCAATAATATGCTAGTTTTCATCGGCATTGCTACAATTAGCTCACCTTTAAATTACAGTGAGGGGATCTAAACATACCAAACTAGTAGGAACTGCACGCGTTTTCGCTTTTCGAACATAGCTAACCTTTGAATTTGTACCAGTAATATGCTAGTTTTCATCGGCATTGCTACAATTAGCTCACCTTAAATTACAGTGAGGGGATCTAAACATACCAAACTAGCAGGAACCGAACGCGTTTTCGCTGCTGTCGCATTGCTATGTTGACATTGACATAGAAATTACTCAACCACATTGCTATGTCGACATAGAAATTACTCAACCTATTTCTGTAGCTGTTTCCGCTGAAGTTTCTATAGCTACAGCCGCAAATAAGCTGCAGGCAGCACAACCGAGCAGGCTGAAACTCAACCACTTCTTTTGTAATCTATTATGGTTGTTTCAGGAATGAGAAGTACTCACAATCCTTTTTGAAACATAGCTAACCTTTGAATCTGTACCAATAATATTCTGGTTTTTAGTGGCATTCCTACCATTAGCTAAGCATCTGTCTTGTCAGCAGACCATGTGACATGAGGTGGAAAGAGCACGTACAATATTCACATCATGACATGAGTGCAACCCCTCTTGCATTAGAGGTTGTTATTGCGAAGCAGTGTTCCATGCTATTTGTAATTTTCAGCTCTAGCATCCAGACCAGTCAAGGAGTGTACACCACTGGGTATTTCAGCCTCTAAATGATTTTAAATAAAAAAAAGTTTCAACTATAAAGTTTTAGGTCTCATTGAGCTCCACATTTTTGGTTAAGGGTATGTCTCAATCCGAGATTGTTTGAAAAATTTCAGAAATTTGAATCTCAAAATATATGAGATTAAAATAAATATTTGAGACAATAAAAACTTAAAATAAAAAACTTATTAACAAAAAATATGTAGACCAGATTGGCAACTGCAACTTTGGTATTCAATATGTGAACATTATATTGAAGGTCATTTATGAATTCTAAATTTTGAATTTCATAATCTATAAAATTAAAACACATATTTGTGACTCTAAACGACTTCAAGTCAAAAACTTTTCAACTATAAAGTTGTAGGTCATATTGAGAACTACAATTTCGGTATATAATGTGTCAACATCCGAGGTTGTTTAAAAACTTTTAAATTTTAAATTTCAAAATACCTAAGCTTCAAACAATATTTTAGGACTCTAAACTGTTTCAAACCAAAAACTTCTCAACTACAAAGCTGTAGATCACATCGAGACTATAATTTTGTTATTTTTCATCCGAGTTTATCTGAAAGAATTATGAATTATTTTGGATTTAACTATTTATAGAGACGGGCATCTTAAGATGCCTGCCTTGAAAAATCTATTTTTAGAGACTAACACCTAGAATGGCCACCGATGATCATCTTAAGATGTCCGTCTTCTGAAAATCAATTTATAAAGACGGACGCTTTAAGGCGACCTTATGACTCTCGTCTCCATAAATGATTTTAAGAGTCAAGCATTCGCCTAGAGGCCGCTTGGCCATTTGTAGAGATGGTCTCAAGATGTATCTGTCTCTATTAATCAGAGATGTTGTCTCCTATAATTACTTTTGTAGTAGTGCACGTTCCATAATAGAAATGTTGTCTCCTAAAATTATTTTTGTAGCAGTGCACGTTCCAGGCTAGGATTGGTCTTAGGCTACGATTACACCGCCGTTTTTCATGCCATTGCACCCCCACTAGCTTTTGAATCAGCAGTGATAAATTTTCATCGCCGGATCTGACAAAACTGGTGATGAAAAGTGAAAAACATGCTAAAAAATGAAATATGTAGTAGTGCTAGCTGGTGGGCTGAATTCGAAAGATCGATGCTTTTGGGTCATAGCCCAATTCTATTAGGCCTAACCAGTACAACTTGAATTATCATATCTATCAAAAATTTGTAGCCAATAATCTAAATCCTGAATGAAACAATTCAATAATGATTCATGACTAGGTGTTTGGAAAAAGATCTATGAGTATGCCCAAATGAGTATCCTGAAAAAAATGTGTCTCATTTGTACGACAGCAAGAAGTGTATTATTCTAGGTACATGTTCTATCTTCCATAATTATTAGAGTCGCCACTTTCACTTTAGCAACGACTAGGTGATGGCTACTCAAGATATTTGGCACTGGCAGCCTAGGCCTGCGGCCCTGTTTCTTTAGCTCCTGTCGCTCCGTTTTTTTCGTCATAATTATTAACACTTCTCCTATATTTCAGGTGTCTGAATTTTAAGTTTAATTTCAAGCAACACTTTTATACTATCAACTACTACAAGTAAATTATAAGTTTTGTTATTTATTATTTATCTTTGTGTCATAACACATTAAATTTTTGTCCTTGTCTTCCTATAAAAATAATTGTAAATTGTTAATTGTTATTGTAGCAACACAAATCAGATTTTGTCAGATTTGTAGTTTTGTCTGACTTTTTTTAATTCTCGGTACCAAAAAAATTACCGATTGTGTCTATTGCAGTGTACGGAATCTACAATTTTAATATAAAATATATGCAATAATCGTCGTTTTAATGGAAACTAAAATTCAGGCACATGATTTTTAGCAAATCCTAATTATTAATGAACAATCTTTTCTCTTAAAACGCTAAAATATTTATATAGAAATCTTTACCACAAGGGCGCGGGCGAGCCGCACTACGTAAAAAACAGTTTGTAGCAACGGAGCTTTTTTTAGGGGCGGCTGGCATTGGAGCAGCCCATACAGTGGCGTGCTCGGGCTCCAGCACAGCAGCCACCTCTACAAATAGCACAATAGGGGCGGTTGGTAATACGAGCCGCCCTTACAAATGCGTCGATTTGTAGGAGCGACTGTTATATAGAGGCGGCTATTACCAGCCGCCCCTGCTATGTCCATTTGTAGGGGCGGCTGAATCTAGCCGCCCCTACAAATGCCCGCTATATATATAGCAGCCACCTTCTTCCACCTCGGGCCACTCTCTCCAACCCAAGCAAATAAGGTTGGGAGGCCTTGGGCTCCTCTCAAAAATTACTCTACTAAGGGGGAGAGGTTTTGATCTCAAATACTTTGGTAGAGAGGTTGTACAAGGTAAGAAAATGCTATTCTAAGCCTTTATTTGAAGTTTTAATGGTTGGTTAGTGATCGTAATTAGAGTTTGGCTTTTCTCTCTCCTTTATGGTGCTTGAGCTTTGTATGAAGCAAATTAGACTCTAGTTTTGAAGCTATCAATGTAAATTAGTTAGATAAATGAGATTACACCATTTATTAGTCGATCTTGCTTGATTTTAGTTGAGATTACACCCTAGTTTCATGTATGTTTCATGTACATGTAGATTTAGATCTAGATCTAGGGTTTGTTTTTTTTAAAATTTTAATTTTGTAAATTTATGTTTCATGAAATTGGATAGGGTTTGCATGAAAGGTAGTGGGTAAAATATTAATTGTTGCAAATTGTTGTCTTTAAAATTATTTATTTTAATTAATAAATATATATTTTTAATTATTTATTGATAAATAGGCCATTAATTAATTACCCTCTACCATGGTGTGTGTTTGATATGCTTCATGTAATTTTATTTTATATTTATATTTATATATATCTAAAGTATATAGAATTATTATCAAGTAATTAATTATTAATTTGATTCCTTTACATATATATCTGAATTAGTAGTCCTTTAATGTATTTTCTTTGATTGCTGTGTTTTAAAAGATGGAGTATAGGAAATCTTGGATGTATGGTTCGTTAAGGTTCAAGGCATGTTTTCGTGAAGAGGTGGACAAATTTATTAAAGCCGCAGAGAAGCATGCAACGACGTTGATAAAGAATAAGGATACATTTATTTATCCCTGTAAAGATTGCAAGAACCTTATGGCATGTACAGATGTGAGTATCATTAGAGAACATTTGATTGTGCGAGGATTTGTTGAGGACTACACAATGTGGATTCATCATGGTGAAACAACGGTTGTTGATAATGACGACGATGATGAAGAAGACGACGCCGAAACCCTAGAATACCTGTCCCAATTCTCAGAAGAGCTTGATATACAAATGGATTCTAAGTTTGGCAATGAACAAGGTGGTGATGCTGGTGGTTGGGAAGGTAACGACGAAGGTGGTGCCAATAATGATGGGGGAGCATGTGTTGGTGATGAAGATGTTTTTGATGATTTGGAGGAAATGATTCGGGTCCTTGGACCAGAGATTTTACTAAAGAGCCCGAAAGGTCTAAAAAATTTGGAAAGAGTGACAAAAGCATCGAAGGGGACTGTGTATGGTGTTGAAAAGGGCTGTCCGACACATTGGACATTGCTATATTTTGTGCTTGGCTACTCATCCTGAAGGCTAAGTACGGCTGGTCAGACTATAGTTTTAATGATCTATTGCGTCTCCTGTCATGGGTGCTACCACAACCAAACTCAGTTCCTACCAACACATACCAAGCGAAGAAGGTCATAAGTCCATTGACAATGGGGGTTAAAAAAAATCCATGCATGCCCCAACCATTGTATCCTTTTTTATGGCGAAACGTTCAAGTCACTGGATAAATGTCCCCGGTGTGGGGCCAGCTGGTACGAGAACAATGACCTTTATGG